AGGGAGCAGTCACTATAGGGTCCAGAGAGTTTCCGCAGAGGAGTTAAACTAGAGGGAGCAGTCATATAGGGTCCAGAGAGTTCCCATAGGGTGCTTGTCATTTCTGAGCTCTCAGATAGTCATGGAAGTGAACCATCCTCGAATGTGAGGGACGAGGAGAGAGAGGAGCCAGGGTAGTGGGGCTGACAGGCCCGGTTCTGTGACGTCCCGGTGGTGAGTGGTCAGTGTCAGGGTAGGGCCAGTCTGCAGTGAGGCAGTGTGTGCACAGTCACTGACCAGCTCTCTCCCTTCTCCCTCTCGCTCACAGAAAAGGAGGTGAATGAGCTGATGGAGGAGCTTTTTGAGACGGTAAGAGAGAGAAGGTGGGAAGAGAGAGGAGTCTCCTGTCTCTCTGCAGTCTGTTCTTCTGTGAACCACACAGTCTGCCCAGCCACAGCAGACTTCCTGTGCACAGCAGTCTGATCCAGCTTTGATAAGCTCAGTTAAGGTCTCAGCAGAAATGAATGGAGCAGACATGCTGGTGTGCCCCAGGGCACTGGGGCACCTTGCCCAAGAGTGCCAGTTCAGACTGTTGTCTCTTGTCTCTGTGCCATGATTATCTGTCTCTTTCTCTCTGTCTGCCTACCAGTCTGTCTCTCAAATTCAGTTAAATTCAAGAAGCTTTATTGGCACGACCAATGAATAAATCAGTGTTGTCAAAGTGTATACAATTAAAATTAAATCTACAGACATTTACATTACAGACACAACATAATACATACACATACAAATATGTGGAGCATTATTGAGAGACAGGCTCACTGTTCCCCAGGCTGTGACAGGAGATCACATACTGGGCTGCCAATTCAACTGAGTTCCCTCCTCCCTCTCCCAGTAGGATTGGGAGCCATTATGATGCTGGCAGGTGTGGTTATTCTGGGGTTAGGTTTGTAACTTTAGGGAAGAATGTCTCTCTAATCCCAGAGTATCTGTCACAGTGCAGTAGGAAGTGCACCTCTGTCTCTGTTTCTCCCTGCTGGCAGTGGGAGCACAGCCTGTCCTCTCTGGGCAGCCAGGTCTGCCTGTGTCGCCCAGTTTCTATGGCCAGGCTGTGGTCACTGAGCCTGTACTTTGTCATTGTGTTCGGCTAGAACCTCAGTCTCGCTCCATATCTCTCTGTCTTTCTGTCTCACCGTGTGTCTGTCTCTCAGTTCCAGGATGAGCTGGGCGTCCCGGACCAGGACGACGAGGGCCACGATGACGAGGAGGAGCGGGAGGAAGAGGTGGAACAGGGAACCCCCAAGTTCAACGTACCGCAGGCAATCCGGTGAGCACCCCAAATTGCACTCTTTGCTGTACTTTCCTCCCCTCTCTCTTGGCTCACCCCAGTGTCTCTCTTATGATTATATTTCTCTGTCCTTGCCCTTCTCTCTCTCTCCTCCCTCTTCCACCTCTCCTCTCTTTCTTTCTCTCCCTCCTGTCTGTTCTCTTTCTGTCCTCTCTTTCCATTAGCAGCATCTGGCCCTGCTCTGCTGTCACCATGGCGATGGGCACGTCTGTGTGGTGGTGAGCACGCACGTGTCTGCATGTGTGCGCTTCATGTGTTTCTGAGCACGTAGGAGTTGGTCTGTTTGTCTCAAAAGATGATAAGCCTCAAATCTCTAGTCCCTGGTGCTGCTTCTGTACAAGAACCCTGTAGAGCAGACTGCTGCACACTCGGAGTCTGATCGACAGCACTTTAAAACCTGGAGTGGATCAGA